TAAATATTAATTTGATAAACGAGCGATGTCTTGCAATACGAGTAGTAGCACGTGTACGATTTGTACTGCCGAGCGTCACGTGATCACAACTGACACATGAGTGCTTTGGCATACGAGTGCTTTGGATTACAAACAATTTTCCGGAACGAATTATGCTCGCAATCCAAGGTTTTACTGTACACACTTACATGAGTCGTAGGAGATCATCATTATGCTTGCTTAGCCAGGGAAGCCGCACTGAGTCACAAGTCTCTTTTTACAGCTGTGCGCGTGATTCCAATTGAGTCATTTGTCTTTTAATTTTTTGAAGCGTTGGGATTTTTGGCCAATACTGGTCACGGTTTTCAGTTGTGGGTTTTGGCCGCGCGCCGCGTCATAACTCTCGTGTCGCCGCAGGGGTGGAACACAAGCTGCTCAAGCAGCTGGCGGAGCAGTTCCTGAACGTGCGTGGAGGCATCGGCTCGTCCTCCGTCAAGGCCACCTACGTCGGAGGTGAGGGCTTTCCTGACGCCTCTGAAGTCCACGCATTCTTTCCTGTGGTAGGGAGTTGATCGGCAAGGTTCGCGTGGAGGTCTCCGAGTGAACCAGCGGCGCATGGCCTACTCATAAGGCCATGCGCCACTGCCTGCAATTCCACCCCCTGAATGATCGAAGTGGACAGTGGCGTTACGATGATGTATGTTAAACTTATTTTGCACGGTACGTAATCAATCGTGCTAATCGAAGTGTACATGGTTGTGTATAGTAGTGTGTACTGTTTAGTAGTGAAGTGTGTAGTGTACAGTAGTTTGTATGCATGTTTAACTTCTTTCGCACCATACATAGCCAACCATGCTAATCGGAGGTGCGGGGGAAGGGCAAAAAACTAAACTATAAAAAAGCATCGATGCTGGAAAAGTCAGGAACCGGCAGTCGATTCCAGTGGAATCGTAGTCACGAATACACTTCTTCATTTGTACGGCTGCTAACTGCGTCAGGAGCAGCGGAGTTTACCGCTGTGATGTCTCATTGGTATTCGTCGATCGTGCCATTGCGTCTTCATAAACGTTGGACGGTCTGTTCCGGATGACCGTAACAACACCAACGTCGGCAACAACGATTGCACCGATTGGCACACGCAAACGGCACGCAACTGTGGCGCGCAGGCAACGTGCGCGTGCACGGCTCCGGTGAGCTGACGCACGCGGCGGTGGCGAGCGAGGGCGCGCCGTGGGGCACGCCGGAGGCTCGCGCCCTCTCCCTGCTGCAGCACGTGCTGGGCGCCGGGCCCTGCATCAAGCGCGGCACCGACGCCGTGGCCGGCAAGATCGGCGGCGCCATCGCCAAGGTCGTCGGCCACCCCTTCGCCGTGAGTCCGGCGGTGTCGCGGTCGTGCTGTCGAAGACGCAAGGATGTCCCTCCAGATGTCTCTCGCAGGGCGGAGCGGGCCGTCCGCCGTGTTTTGAGAACGGAAGTCGCAGCGTTACCTCCGATCTGCTGCGCAAATCGACGATTTTTAATCCTCGGGAGCCGGAATTTAGCCTAATGAAGCGCTCTCGCCCACATTTCCTGCCACCGTTTTTTCCATGTGCGTTCGTTGGTGACGTGGGGCCGAGACCATCAACTCCACTGCACTTGGGAACCGGGTTTAGTTACAGGCGACTGATAGCTGGATTGCAGCGGTGCCAGTTCAGCGCCCTGAACCTAAATGCGCCACGGTAGCGAGATGTTGACTCCCTCGCCTGGTATGCAGGAGGTCGTGGGTTCGATCCCGACCCTGACGCCTGCTGCTGTATATTTGGAGTTTGCATGTTCCCTCTCTCTCTCTCTCCCCGTGGTCGCGTGGATTTTTCTCCGGGTCCTCCGGTTTTCCCTCCCACATTTAAAATAAACATCGCGCGTTTTAGAGTATTTGACTGCGATACATTTTCACATGATAAGCCACGACCGTTGAACTATCGTTTGTGGCCAGGTCGCTTCTGAAACAAAGCTTTAAATGCCAATGGGCCTTACCTGGGAAAATAAAAATGGTTTCTTTACAGTAGTTTCGTCTTAGATCACGGGGGTTGCGATTCATTGCCTGTCTAATTCGGGGATCGTAAGCATTGTTACCCCGGGCCGGGTGACCATGTACCATGGCCGTGTGTCACGTCTCTTCGTTTGGCTCGCCCAGACTTAAGGTGGCAGGGTTGTGTGCGTCTGCTGCAGGCATCCGCTTTCAACAGCAGCTACAGGGACTCGGGCCTCTTCGGCATCTACGCCGTCTGCAACAGCGGCGAAGTGGACAAGGCGAGTGCACGCCACATGCGCTGTGATTAAACCTGTGGTAACCGCCCTGCGGGACTGTGACAGAGTGACACGTTTGTTAAGCGCCATGTGATTCCTTCCTACGTGCTCCTCCGTTTATTTTTTACATTCCCCCTCCCTCCCCCCTCCCTTCGCCCCTCTCCCCCCCCCCCACTTCTCCCCCCCCCCGCTCCCTCTACTCCCTTAAGTTCTTCCTCCCTCACCGTTCCCCCCCCTCCCCACGTAAAAGTGCAAACACCCCGCTCGCGGTTTTCCCCTCTCAGCAGCGAGCCCAATCTCCCCCACCTCCTCTAAACTCAGGAGCACGGCGTTGGCGACTTGTGTCCGCGTAGTTTCTGTACCGTCATGGAGGCGTGCGTGACCCGCAGGTGCTGCAAGCCGCCGTGGGGAAGGTGAAGGCGATCGCCGAGGGGAATCTGTCGGCCGGAGAATTCCAGCGGGCCCAGTAAGTGAGGGTTTGGTGTGGTGGGGCGATGAGCCGTGCTGTACGTGCGTGTGCATTTGGGTTTTCGTATCGCCACCACCACCTCCACCATCATCCTCATCACCACCACCACCGCCATCATCGTCACAATAATCAACATCACCGTCGTCATCGCCACCGTAATTATCGCCATCGTCGTAATCATCGTCTTGATCACTGGAATCATTATCGTTACCATTGCTGTTATCACTACCAACGTCACTCATCAATGTCACCGTCTTGGTAATCATCACCATCATCAATACCGCCGACATCACCGTCATTACTACCGCCGACATCACCGTCACCACCACTGTCAATGTCAATGTCACCATCATCATCTTCACTACCAATGTCATCATCCTTACCCAAGTCATTGTCTCAGGCTGTCAACTGATTAAACAGAATAAACTTGAAAATAAACGTCACTAAAATCATCGTCAATATCATCACCACCACCACCACCACCACCATCGTCAAGGTCAAGTCCACGATCGTCGGGGCGACCACTGACGAACGGCCGTGGACCGTGTGCAGGAACCAGCTGAAGGCGAGCTTGCTCATGGGGCTGGAGGGGAGGGAGGCTCTGGTGGATGAGCTCAGCACCCAGGTGCTAGAGACCAGCTCCTACACGGCACTGCCCAGCGTGCTGCAGGCCATCGACGCCGTCAAGTCCGCCGACGTCATCGCTGTAAGCTCCACGCGATTTGGGGGGGGGAGCCCGAGAGCATGTGCGATTTGGGGGGGGCGGGGGCGAGCGTACGCCCGGTTGGGGGGCAGCCCTGTGCCGGCCTCACCCGCTCTCCTCCCCATTAGGAGCCTGGGGAATGGACCGTACAGTGCACCACTGTAGTCCGCCCTCCTACAACGCGGGAGGAACAGCAAATCGACTTGCTCGCTCTCTGTCCTGAAGCTCTCTTGTCGTGGCGAGCAGCAGCCCTCGACATGGGCATTTAGCTCCCGAATTAATTTCCGTTCGCACGAACAGATTCGTGGCTCGGAGAAAAGCAATTCGGAAAGGCCGCGTGACGAGCCCGCGTACGTGTTGAGGAGCCCCGGGGTTTGGGATCTGTTCGCTGCCCACGGGGGACCTTTGTGCGATCCGCCGACCCTCGTTGCCTGCACAGTGCTGTTTGACAGGCGTGCACCAGCACTCTGCTTAGAGAGCCACACATAAAAGCTGCACCGGTGGTGGTGGTGGGGGGGTGGTGGTGGGGGGGTGGTGGTGGGGGGGTGGTGGGGGAGTGGTGGTGGGGCGGTGGTGGGGGGGTGGTGGGGGGGTGGTGGTGGATCTCCCTGTGTGCTTCGTGCGCGACGTCCAGGCCGCTAAGAAGTTTGTGACGGGAAAGAAGACGGTGGCAGCCAACGGAAACCTGCGCAGCACGCCGTTCGCCGACGAGCTGTGAGGAGGTGCCGTCGCCATCCCTCCCCGTCCCCCCTGCCGTCACCAGGAACCAGCCTCCACTTCCACCACCGCCGCCACCAGCTGGTCTCCGACATCATAAATATCATTTCTATTCCCACCCTGTTTATTTTTTGTCTTCCTCTGGCTTAAACCGAGTTTTTTTCCCGCCCCCCCCACCCCGGAAACGAGCGGGAGGGAACCGAAGTCCTGCCGTCGCTTTGACCATTTCGCCGGCTCCCATCGCGGTTTTTCGCCGCGCCGTTTCGTTGGCCCGCGCGCACCCGGGCGGCGGGGGGGGGACTGTGTTGAGTGGCCCCACGATGTCGTTTGGCGAGCCTCGTACAATGAATGTGCCGTCGCCGTGCACCTCACGAAATAAAGTTATCGGGGCGCGAGTCCCCCGTGATTGTGTTGTCATCTTGGCTGAGCTGACTTGAGACCGCCGGCCGAGTGAGTTGGGCTCCCTCCCCCGCACCGCCCCCCCCCCCCCACCACCCCCCACCGCGTTGCCCGAGCGAAACGCGGCAGCGGCGGCGGCGGCAGTTTTTGCGATCACCGAGCCACTTGCGCATCGGCGCCGACGGCGAGCGTCGTGGGTCAGCTGCTGCTCGGATGAGCTTGGCTTGGAGCCAGAGGTTTTTTTCAGTTGGCTGCCTGCGGGCGGCTAGGGGGGTCGAGGGGGTCGAGGGGGTCGAGGGGGGTTGAGTGGCAGGGGAGGGGCCCAGGCTTGTGAGCCGCCACTTGCAAAAAAGACAAGGCCGGTACGAATTAGTACGCGTCGACGAATTCCAGCGCGACGCAGTATACCCCCCCCCCCCCGGCTATGGGCTTCTTTGGTACAGCTGCTGATGTCCATGCGGAGCAACGACTGCAATTTCGCGCGCGGGTGGTCAAAGCAGTGGAAGATGGCGGCAGCCTCCGCGCGGCGCCGCTCCGTTGAGTGAGAAATCGCGACAAATGCCGTCGACGCGGCGACCGAACATCGAACATGGACCGGTTTTTTAGAGCAACAACAACAACAGCAGCACCCCTTCGCAATGAATAATTTATTTTGCATTTTCAAACTTGACGATGACGACAATGGTATCGACGTAAATCTAACAGCGCCTTGTAATATCGCCGCGCGTCCCCGTGACGCGCGATTGCCATTTAACGCCCGGCTCTCCGAGCGGAGATCGTTTTATTTTCCACCATTGAAAGTTTTTTTTTTTCTCGCAGTAGAAAATCCCCCATCCAGTGGTGCCGCCACCAGTCTGACCGTGCGTGAATCCACGGGGAACCGGCCTCGGCCGCGCTGCGTCGCCGGCGGTACCGTCGACGACCCGGCAACCGGAGCGTTGCACCGGTCCGAGCCGATTCCCTGCGCCGTATCGGCGGCGGCCGCTGCCGCCCGCCGAGCTCGCGGCGTCCCACGGCACGCCGGTTTCCGCGTCCCGCCCGCCTGCCTACACCACGGTGTCCTCCTGCCGTACCGGCCCGGCCGCCCCCTCGTCGTCCTCCCCTTCGCCCCGCTGCGGCAGCGGTTGCCGCGCGCCGTCGCCGCCCGTGCCGTGGGTGGCGCGGGCGCGCTTGGGGTACAGCTGCAAGCACAGCCACTCCAGCCTCGCCAGCGCGCCGGCCTTCAGCTGCTCCCACTGCCCTAGCTTCTTGCTTCTCTTCGCGCTCTGCTGCTGCTGCTGCTGCTGCAGAGTTTGCGACGCTTGCTCGCGCTTGCTGGCGCTGGCGGGCGGCTTCTCGGGCTGCGGGCCGTCCAGTCCGCCGAGCGTCCGTTCCGCGCGCCGGCCCAGCTGCTGCTGCTGCTGCTGCTGCCACCGACACTTTTGTGTCTTGGAGGTCATCGGCTGCGTCTCCTCCACGGCGGCGCCGCCCGGCCGCTCCGCGCACGTGCACGTGTGCAGCACCACGTCGCTGTGCGGCGCCGGCCCCACCGTCAGGGTGTGGAGCCGCCCGGCCGGGACTGGGTAGGAGGGGAGTGAGGGGAGCGGACGGGCGGTGAAACGGGGCGGGGGGACGGCTTCGCTCGAGGGAATCCAACGTCGAGCAGTTCAATAAACGCAGTGCAGTCTGTTCTCCTATGACGCGGTTGGAGCCGTGTTCCTCAAGAACACCGCGTCAGGGTTAAAATCTCGTTACAATTAATAATATACGGTAAGCACAGTCGGCGAGAACGTATGACATGCGTACGCGGGCTGCATCTCGAAGCATCCAGCAGCACCCCAATGCCTTGTTCGACGCCACGCCGAGGCAGCCGTATGACCGCTTATTCCTTGATCGCGTGATGTCAAATTCTCATCCGTGTTATGAAAAGCGCGTCGTATCCTATTCGCGTTATGAAAACACGTCGGTGTCGGAGTAACGGACCGTACTTAGAATTGCTTCCATCTCTCTCTACGCAACGGTACTTTTTAGCCCCCCGACCTATTGGCATTCCGCGCGCAAATATGCAGCAGCGTTTGTTCAAAGCGAGCAAGCGCGACTGGTCTTGGGCATTTTGAGTTTTCGTCGGCAGACGGCCGTCTTGATGGACGCACGCTGCTGGCTTCGCGGATGTTGGTGGCAGGAGCGCTCCACGTAAATGAAAGGGCACCCCACGACTGCCATCGGCACCCTCTTCATTTACCTGACTCGCATTCCTCCAACACGTTGACAACGGCTTACCTGGCACCACAGGGATGTGGTTAGCGGCGTGGTGATGGGCATCCGGATCCGGGACGGCGGCGGTGGCTACGGTGGTGGCGGTGGCGGCGGTGGCTACGGCGGTGGCGGCGGCGGTGGCGGCGCCTTTGTTCACGGTGGACTCTGGTGCAGAGTTATCGCTGCTGTGGGCACGAGGAACGGAGAGAAAGTGGTGAAACCCCAGATGGCCGCGTTGTGCGGAGGAGAGGATGAGGGGCATCTGGTGCGTGGGTGGAGCACACTGGCCAATCAAATGCCTTCCCTAGCCAGCTAGCCAACCAGCAACAAGTACTAGTCACCCACTGATCTCAGCCAATTAGCCAACCAGCAACAAGTACTAGTCACCCACTGATACTAGCCAGTTAACCAACCAGCTACAAGTACTAGTCACCCACTGATCCTAACCAGCTAGCAAACCACCCACAAGTACTAGTCACCCACTGATCCCAGCCAGTTAGCCAACCAGCCACAAGTACTAGTCACCCACTGATCCCAGCCAGTTAGCCAACCAGCCACAAGTACTAGTCACCCACTGATTCTAGCCAGTTAGCCAACCAGCCACAAGTACTAGTCACCCACTGATCCTAGCCAGCTAGCCAACCAGCCACAAGTACTATTCACCCACTGATCCCAGCCAGTTAGCCAACCAGCCACAAGTACTAGTCACCTACTGATCCTAGCCAGCTAGCCAACCAGCCACAAGTACTAGTCACCCACTAATCCTAGCCAGCTAGCCAACCAGCCACAAGTACTAGTCACCCACTGATCCTAGCCAGTTAGCAAACACCCTCAAGTACTAGTCACCCACTGATCCTAGCCAGTTAGCCAACCAGCTACAAGTACTAGGCACCCACTGATCCTAGCCAGTTAGCCAACCAGATACAAGTACTAGTCACCCACTGATCCTAGCTAGCTAGCCAACCAGCTACAAGTACTAGTCACCCACTGATCCTAGCTAGCTAGCCAACCAGCCACAAGTACTAGTCACCCACTGATCCTAGCCAGTTAGCCAACCAGCCACAAGTACTAGTCACACACTGATCCTAGCCAGCTAGCCAACCAGCTACAAGTACTAGTCACTCACTGATCCTAGCCAGTTAGCCAACCAGCCACAAGTACTAGTCACCCACTGATCCTAGCCAGCTAGCCAACCAGCCACAAGTACTAGTCACCCATTGATTCTAGCCAGTTAGCCAACCAGCCACAAGTACTAGTCACCCACTGATTCTAGCCAGTTAGCCAACCAGCTACAAGTACTAGTCACCCACTGATCCTAGTCAGTTAGCCAACCAGCTACAAGTAATAGTCATCCACTGAACCTAGCCAGTTAGCCAACCAGCCACAAGTACTAGTCACCCACTGATCCCAGCCAGTTAGCCAACCAGCCACAAGTACTAGTCACCCACTGATTCTAGCCAGTTAGCCAACCAGCCACAAGTACTAGTCACCCACTGATCCTAGCCAGCTAGCCAACCAGCCACAAGTACTATTCACCCACTGATCCCAGCCAGTTAGCCAACCAGCCACAAGTACTAGTCACCTACTGATCCTAGCCAGCTAGCCAACCAGCCACAAGTACTAGTCACCCACTAATCCTAGCCAGCTAGCCAACCAGCCACAAGTACTAGTCACCCACTGATCCTAGCCAGTTAGCAAACACCCTCAAGTACTAGTCACCCACTGATCCTAGCCAGTTAGCCAACCAGCTACAAGTACTAGGCACCCACTGATCCTAGCCAGTTAGCCAACCAGATACAAGTACTAGTCACCCACTGATCCTAGCTAGCTAGCCAACCAGCTACAAGTACTAGTCACCCACTGATCCTAGCTAGCTAGCCAACCAGCCACAAGTACTAGTCACCCACTGATCCTAGCCAGTTAGCCAACCAGCCACAAGTACTAGTCACTCACTGATCCTAGCCAGCTAGCCAACCAGCTACAAGTACTAGTCACTCACTGATCCTAGCCAGTTAGCCAACCAGCCACAAGTACTAGTCACCCACTGATCCTAGCCAGCTAGCCAACCAGCCACAAGTACTAGTCACCCACTGATCCTAGCTAGCTAGCCAACCAGCCACAAGTACTAGTCACCCACTGATTCTAGCCAGTTAGCCAACCAGCCACAAGTACTAGTCACTCACTGATCCTAGCCAGCTAGCCAACCAGCTACAAGTACTAGTCACTCACTGATCCTAGCCAGTTAGCCAACCAGCCACAAGTACTAGTCACCCACTGATCCTAGCCAGCTAGCCAACCAGCCACAAGTACTAGTCACCCATTGATTCTAGCCAGTTAGCCAACCAGCCACAAGTACTAGTCACCCACTGATTCTAGCCAGTTAGCCAACCAGCTACAAGTACTAGTCACCCACTGATCCTAGTCAGTTAGCCAACCAGCTACAAGTACTAGTCATCCACTGAACCTAGCCAGTTAGCCAACCAGCCACAAGTACTAGTCACCCACTGATCCTAGCCAGTTAGCCAGCCAGCTGCTGGCACTAGCCTCCCCCTGATCTTAACGATCCTAACCAATGAGCCAACACTACTCGTACTGCCCACCTCACTGATGATTACAAAGTAGTCCGCTACAAATGAGTACCACACCCTGGCAGTGACCCTAGCGTTTGTTTTTTTCACTTTAATTACATATGTGTGTCGTATAAGAGCAATGCTAATAACATTACCAGTTGTAAATTGACCACATTCATGGAAATAACGGGGTTTTGTTAAGAAAATTGATATACCGGGGAGGAGTAGAAATCCACCCCTTGATTTAATTATCCCAGATCTTTGAGGACGCTCAGTAGCGACACCCCGAGACACCCATCACCAAATCAAGTTGAACCGCCTCTACGGGGAGGTATGAAGTATGTGTCTTTGCGTTGTCTCTGTTTGTGTCTACGTGTATGTGTCGTGTCTCTGTCTCAAATGTCACACTTAACTTAAGTTTGTGTCTCTATGTTGCCTCTACCTGTGTTTCTGCCTTTGTGTCTACGTGTATGTGTCTTGTTTCTCTCCACAGTCCCCGTGGGCATGCTAATCTGATTGCTGTGCCCCCTTCTCCCCCTCACCACGCTGCAGCGGCATGTGCGGTGGCTCCCAGTCCATGCTAATTTTGTATTCCTTTGCTCCACCCCCCCTCCATTCCCCTCTATTTAAGGCTTCGATACAGAAGCATTGTTTCACTTTGTCCCATGTGTGTGTCTCTCTCTGTGTGTCTCTGTGCTGGCTCTCTCTGCTTGGATGTCTGTATATGTGTCTGTGATCTGTACTCTATCACTCTTAACCTATAATTTAGCAATCTTTGAAATAACGTGATCAGCCAGACCATGCGTTAATTGTGTTTTGACCGACCCTCTGTGCTGCATTATATTGTTTCCAAATTTTACGAAATCTTGTTCAATTTGATGTGCTTCTCCATCTCTCTGTGTTTCCTCTCTCTCTTAAATGTAACTGTTCTATACCTGATGAAGATTGCTTGCGTTGCAATCGAAACGTCGTATGTATACTAGTATGTAATTTTATTTTATTATTATTACTTATTTATACGTGACTTTACCGAGAAAAACAAAGAATAATTCCGCCAGTCACGAAAGCACCAAATCAAGTTGACACCCATCGTTTTTGTCGGCCTTCCCGATTAGCAGGGTTGGAAACGTACGGTGCGAAAGAAGTTCAACAAACATGCATAATACACACACGTTCCATCTCAAAGGATTTTCCGACTAAAATACATTTTTAGCAAACTCCAGGCCTGTATGCGGGCATCACGCTGCCCCCATGCACGCACACACGCCCGCACGCACACGCGTGTGTGCGTGCGGGCGTGTGTACGTGCACGCGTGTGTGCGTGCACGCGTGTGCGTGCGTACGTCTGGTCTCCGCATTCCGCCGGCGTTGCCGTGTGATCTCCGCACGCGGTGACCGGCATGGCCCCTCCCCCCCCCCGCCAGCGACTCTCAGTAGACGGCGGAGTTCTCGGGGTGAGTTCCCCTGCCTGGTTTGCTCCGTGCCTACCCCCACCCCCCGCGCCCCTTCACCTTGACCAGCAAGTCTCCTGTTGGGGTGGTGTGCACACGCATACGCACACACACACGCGCACACACGCACACACACGCGCACACGCGCACACACACACGCGCACACATACGCGCATACACACACGCGCACACATACGCGCACACACATACACGCACGCACACACACACGCGCACACACGCGCACGCACACACACACACGCCGGTGAGTGTACTCTTAGCTCTTGGTGTGGTCTGCCATTCAATTCCGACGCAATTCCAGGTTAACGGTGAGAAAACTCGGCTGTCGCGACCAATATCATCCATAATACAATCTTGTACTCAGATTGTAAATGTTGTACCTTGGCTCTCCAACACACCGGTGTGCTGTACTAGTATACTACACTATACACTACACTATATACTACACTATACACTAGTGCTGTACTAGTATACTACACTATACACTACACTATACACTACACTATACACTAGTGCTGTACTAGTATACTACACTATATACTACACTATACACGACACTATACACTAGTGCTGTACTAGTATACTACACTATACACTACACTATACACTAGTGCTCTACTAGTATACTACACTATACACTACACTATACACTAGTGTTGTACTAGTATACTACACTATACACTACACTATACACTACACTATATACGACACTATACACTAGTGCTGTACTAGTATACTACACTATACATTAGTGTTGTACTAGTATACTACACTATACACTACACTCTACACTAGTGCTGTACTAGTATACTACACTATACACTACACTATACACTACACTATACACTAGTGCTGTACTAGTATACTACACTATACACTATACATTAGTGTTGTACTAGTATACTACACTATACACTACACTCTACACTAGTGCTGTACTAGTATACTACACTATACACTACACTATACACTACACTATACACTAGTGCTGTACTAGTGACGAATTGGCCACGTTCTGTTTACGTGAGAAACCTTACTAGTTGGCTGTGTCGGGTGGTGGCGGATTTTAACGACACAACAGTTATATATTTACGCGATCTAACCCAAAAAACTCTATTATGAGTGAGAAAACTCTGCACAGGAGGAACATGCGTGTAGGCTGGAAACGCGTTCAGTTCTTTCGGGGCTGGTGGTTTGGACAAGGCTGAAAGCATTGCAAATTAACTGTAGTCACGTGGCATGCGAGGGATGATGGGAGATGTGGCTTCCTGCTGTTTGTGAGCAGCGATCTGTGTGTGTGTGTACGTACGTTCGGCACCACAGGTGTCATTCTGGATCTGTTTGCGGTGGTGTAGCGGTTAGCACGCTGAGCTACGAACCCGGCGACCCGAGTTCGACTCCCACTCACGGTCAACAACAGTGACGATTATCTGAACCGGTCATGGGCCTGCCTGAGGTCGACCCTGCCTCATATGAGTACCTGGCGTGGTGTGTGAACATCGCCACTCGGGAGACAAAGGCGGTCGGGGCGTGATGTTGGCCATCCACCCCACTCGTGTGCCGTGCCGGCCTTCATAGGTGCTCACTAACAGCACTTGCCCCAACAGTCTGTTGTGGCTACATGGGGGGATCTTTGTCTTTGTTTTTTGGTGTATGGGTTTGGCAGCACAGGTGTTATTCTGGATCTGTTGAGCAGTTGGAAGCTGTCTGGACTGTCACTCCCCTCGCAGCTCTGGGTACTATGCTTACTGTGGACCACTTTTAAAGTAACTCCTGTGCCGGCTTACAATATTAAGGTTGGCCCACCTACCACGATCCATCCTGGGTTTAGTCAGACAGGTTTGTGCGAGTAGTTTACAAATCTTTGAAATATCTGTACACACACTCGTCAGTGAGCTCCTCCGGCAGGCGAAGTGTCCTTGTCCTGCACTTTCGATTAGAACGGGCGCCGCGGTGGCTAGGAGATTCTAACTACCTCGCCCGGTGTACAGGAGGTCGTGGGTTCGATCCCGACCCTGACGCCTGCTTCTGTATATTTGGAGTTTGCGTCTCTCTCCATGGTGAGATGTTAACTACCTGGCCTGGTATGCAGGAGGTCGTGGGTTCGATCTTGACCCTGACGCCTGCTGCTGCATATTTGGAGTTTGCGTGTCTCGTGGATTTTTCTCCGGGCTACTCCGGTTTTTTCCCCGAATCAACATGCGTCTTGGAGTATTTGGCCGCTATAGATTTCCACGTGACGAGCCCACTTCGTTGAGCTATCATTTGTGGCCAGGTCGCTTCGGAAAAACGAGTTACCACACAGCTCCAGTGGGCCTTGCCTGGTAAGATAAAAAAAAAAAAACCAGTTTAGTTTTTAACAGTAGTTCAGCGCGTGGTTGGCTACGTGCTGTGCGAAAGAAGTTCAACATACCCACCTCGCCTGGGTCGCGTCTGGCCCGGTGCGTGTTCCGTGCGTCGTCTCGCCTGCTTGCAGCTCTGCTCCTCCACCCGGCTGCACCGGCGCAGCCAGGCCCCAAGGCTCGGCAGCCGCAGGTGGTGACCCACGCTGCACCAGCTTCGTTCGGCAGAATCGCCCCTGCGCAATTCCGTCCTCTCGAGCTTCGGCCACCGGTGCGGTGTGCTCGGCAATGCGCCTCGAACTGTCGGGGTGGTTAGGGTCAGAGAGAGCGGGGAGAGGCGTGGGGTGGGGTGGGGGGTTTACAATGATTACAGCTGACACTCGAGCCGAGGTGGTTCGGGTGGCTCGGAGCTGAAAACTCTCTTAAATTTCCCTTCCCCATTCCGAGACGTCTGCAGGGAGTCGCAGGTTGGGGACGGTGTGGGGAGGGGGGGCGTCCCATTCCCCGCCGTCGAATCTCGGAAATGCTGCGAGCGGTTCGGCATTCAAAAATGTTTTTTTTTCAGAGAGGCGCAGGGGGGGCAACAGCGCCGCCGTTTGTTTTAGTTTTTAAAGGCGTCGTTACTCACCGCAGAGAACCGTCACGACGCGACCGCCGCCAGCCTACGATAGCCGGCGCAGCAACTGCGCCACACGCCTCTCCTGCGTGGCCCTTTCAACGATGTCCGCGTACGTCAATGGAATGGGGAAAGGTTAAGGGTGTGGACTTGAACAGTTGCAGGGAGTTGACGGGCGCGGATGTCTGGGGGAAGACAGCAGTTCCAGGCCATGGGTGGCAGCAGAGGCAACCGAGTGATCTCCCAACCGAGGAGACGAGGCGAAGGGTGACCACACCTCTAAAACCCTAAAATCAGATCGCTCGAATCGTAATGCTCGCGGGTGACCCCCGCCCCATTGACTGGGGGTGAACCTCTTTATACTGATGGGTGGACAGAGACAGTGGGTGGGGGTGGGGGGGGATTTAAGGAGCTTGCACCGTTTCAATTGCCACGCCAGGATATCAAATCAGCCAGCCAGCAAAACTTTGACAAAATAACGCAGCGAAGGTATCCGTCGTTGGATAACGGTCCGACCCCCAGCGTACCTACCTCCCCACCCCTGGGTGTCCCCTCGCGTGCGTGACAACCCCTAGCCCACCCCCCCCTCCCACCCAGACGCATATCCTACCAGTCGCCCCCCTACCCACGTACCCCCTCTGCGCGCGCCCACCGCCACGGTCAAACTACGCACCCCGCACCCCGCACTCGGCTGTCTCTCCCCGCCCCCAGCACCCCCGCAGACGCGAGCCCCCGCCCGGGTGCCGGCCACCCGTGCACCCCCATACACTCTGCGCGCTCGGGCGGCGCATGACCGCCCAGCCAGCCAGCAAAACTTTTACGAAATAAATAATAGAGGCACCCCTCAATTTTTACGAAAGGGATGCGTTCTTCGATTAAAGAAAAAAAACGAATGATCTCGTTAGCTTAATACTAAACATTGGGGATACGTGTCGGACAGTCGTTGCAAACGCGACTCCTAAACCTAGACATACACCGGCTATGTGACTTTCCACAATACCAAAAAAGAATAATCCATGGGATTTTAAAACGACGGTGTAACAATTTAAAATAATTGACCTCAACACCGCCACGGGACACCCGTGGCGCAGCCTCCCACGGGTGCCCTCTCGTTTGATGATCTCAGGACGCGTCGTGGCCTTCGCGTCCATTTCGCTCGCGCGGAAATTCGACGTCGTCCGTCGGGAGAGAAAACGAAAAACGTGTCCGTGATTTGCCAGTTGCGCTCACGCCGAATTTTCGTCGGCGTGAGCGCACCGGTTGTGAGTTGGAGAATAAAACCCACAACATACTCTTGGTTCTTTCGGTAAAGTCACGTAGGTAAAGAAAATAATCCATGGGATTTTCAAAACGACCGTGAAACAATTTAAAAGAATTAACATCAACACCGCCACGGAAAATAAAAAATATATATTGTCTTTACCTACGTGACTTTACCGAAAGAACCAAGAGTATGGATCCTTGCAGTCACGAAAACTTCAAATCTAGAAAAAACCCACAACATTTACAATTCGAGTACGGCGTTTTTGCCGGTAATTAGAACGGGCTTCGTCAGGCGGACAGACAGAGTTGTGGCTGTCTGGCTGATCACGTGGCAAACCTCACTCATTGGTTGTGTCGGGTGGTGGCGGGTTTAACGACACATTTATATTTACGAGATCTAACCCCAAAAACCTCTATCATGGATACCCGTGTGTGACGTAGAAGGGAAATAATAAAATAATAAAAATAAAACATAATACAGTAAAACGTTGGATTGCGAGTAACTTGGTCTGCGAGTGTTTTGCAAGGCGAGCAAAATTTTTAAGTAAAGATTAATTTGATAAACGAGCGAGGTCTTGCAATACGAGCGTCACGTGATCACAACTGATATACGAGTGCTTTGATATACGAGTGCTTTGGATTACAAACACGTTTCCGGAACGAATTATGCTCACAATCCAAGGTTTTACTGTAAAATAAAATTCTCACGACG